TGGAATCAACATTTAGTGCCGAACTCGAACCTGAGATTTCGCCAGAATCTTTTCTGCGCACCTCCTCAGCCAAAATCAAATCACGAATATCTTCAAATTTCAATTTAGATTTACCTGCAGAATTACTGACAGCCATCCTCATAGCTTCCCAGCTATTTGGCAATGAAGCCAACAAGATCAGTGCGCGTATCTCATCATCAAATTCAATTTCCACAGACTATAATTGATTTGTGATGGTATTGAAATTATTCAGGTGTTGTACAACAGACGTACATTCCGCCATCTTCAAATTGAATAACTTCTTCATCAGATATACCTTGTTATTCGTCGATGGCTTTTCATACATACCTGACAAGGCTGTCATAAGATCTGCAGTCGTCCTCTCTTTGACGACGTTGTGTGCAACGGACCTCGATAGGGTCAGTCGAATAACCCCCAGAACCTGTCGATCCAACAGATTCCATTCAGTCTCATCCATTCTTTCAGGTCTTTTCCCCAATAACGGAAGATGAAGTTTTTTCCCATAGAGGTAGTCCTCTATCTGCATTTTCCAATAACCAAAATCTGTGCCATCAAATTTCTCGATTCCTGAAATCTTCACTTCGTCTGTAGCCATTGGCTCTGATATCAGTTGTTGTGTTGTATATGTGAAATTTAAATCGATCAACGACGAAGCAAAAAAATAACACGAGAAATTCACACCAAAAAATAACACACGGATTTACGTAGTTCGGCAAATTGCCTACATCCACGAAGTGGCAGAGGATTTTACTAATTAAGGAAATTACACCGTAGTCGATAGTCTCGACACTTACAAGATTATCTCTTCCTCTTTCTCGCTCTACCGGAGAGTAGCCCAAGAAGAAGAAGAAGAACTAAGTTTGATCTTCTGGCCTCACCGAAAACTGCGAACAGAACAAACACCAAAGTCGTCCACCTCTTAAGAAAAGCTTTCCCGTAAGCCTTAGACACACCGAAAAACCAAGGGAGCCAAATGCCGTGCGTATCTTCTTATTCCTTCTATCTCAAAGCGGGCGATGCTTCGCGAAACAGAGAGGAAGCAAGAGATATGGCACCGATTCACGAAATAAAGGGGAGGCGGAAGCGGTTTCTGGCGAAGGGACGCGAAACTTTACGCGCAAAACAGAGGAGGCGCGACTATTCGCGTGCGCGGGAGACGGGAGGCGGAGAGCGGGAGCAGGCGCGTCGTTCGCGATCGGGAGAGAGGGAGGCGGGCGTGAAAGGTCTCCAGCGCTAACAGCAATTTTTCATCTTTTCTGAGGAAGCTGATTTTTAGAGCTAGAAGATTTTAGGCTTTGTTTGGATTCTAGGAATCCCAGTGAAAATGAAATGAAGAAAAGAATTTAAAAGACTCATTAAAAATTTGCATATTCATAATCTACTCAAGTTATTGGGGTTTTATTTTACTGCCGCAATTTTGTCAACCTAAACAAAGCTTGATTTTTTCATTAAGGTTTGGTTTGGGGCAGCTTTATCACTGTGTTCTTTTTCAGACTGCTATCATAATTGTGTTGATTTCTTACTCTTTTCTCGAAATCTTGTGGTGTAAAGCTTCTTTTTACAACCTAATTTACTGAAGTGTGGTAGTTATAAGAAAATTACACCGGTTCTTTTGAAAAAGAAAAAAATTTATAATACTCGGTGATTTTAAAAAATTCTATTTTACTTACAATAGCTCTACAACTAATTTTACCTTTGAACAAACCTTAAAATGATGGATAGATTTCAAATGTTAAAGAATTTTGTAGGAACTAAACCCATTAGATATAACAAAATGTAACTCGTAATTACTAAAAGCCATGGCTATCATCAGAATAGCCATCAAACTTGGGGCAGCTTTTTCCCTGTTTTTTTTTTCCAAACTGCCCACATATTTTCATTTCATTATTATTTTCTGTAAAATTTCTGTGATGAGAATCTGTTTTACATCCACAATTGCTAAAATATGGGAGCTGTAAGAAAACAAATATCCAACATTTTTGAAAAAAATTATATTACCCATAGGAGCATTCTCATTGTAGCTTTACAATCATCTTCATAAAAAGCTACAAGCACCTCAAGCAAACCTTTGGAGTGTTTGGGAAAGCGGCACCATCTTGTAAATTTGATTGTGACGTTGCGGTGAGAAAACAACTTTTAAAAAGCTACAATGAGAATTATAAATCCATAATATTTTCATTAGGCCAAACAACAACTTTCTTGTAGCAGACATGCTTTAACAGATCTGGTTACAAAAAACACTTTCCACCACATAATATTGTTCTTGTGGCCTGAAGCACAACGCAAATAAAAAGTTAGTCTCAAATTGATCCTTAGTATTCACAGGGAGTTTTGAGAGTTGCTGGGGTAAAATATGTAATTAAAAGGGGTATTAAGTGATTCGGCTCATTCCAACAAATTGGATGTAGTCGGGATTTGACTTTAGACAATTGACAATAATTATCAAGTTTTGTTATAACTATAAGCTTGATGGCACCCACACACACTTTTAAGTAAAACATTGCTTTGTATTTTTTGTGTGCTGATTAATAAATACCATGCTTTCCTCGTCTCAGGTAGTGTCAATTCTCCGCTAGATTGGACTGAAGATGAATGGCATAACAATCTTTCGACTAATTTAACTGGCTCATGGCTAGTTTCTAAATATGTCTGCAAATTCATGCGAGATGCTAAAATTAGGGGATCTGTGATCAACGTGTCGTCCATTGCTGGAACTGAACGCGGACAATTGCCTGGAGGCTTGGGTTATGCTGCTTCAAAAACCGGTCTTAATGCAATTACCAAGGTAATTCAGAGCTAAATAAATATCATCAAATGACTTTTCTGTGTGTGAGTTTAAAAATTGTTTTGTGCCTTTGTTTAGACAAAATATATATTGTAAAATGTCTTAGAAGGTCATAGCCTGGTGAACTTGGTTTTGACTATAATTGTCTTATACTGTCGTAAGGTCTCATTCAGTTGCTGAAGTTAGGGAAGACCACACAAAAAATGGTGCAATTTGTTTAATCCATCATTTCTGTGGATGTAGTTAGAGAACAACTTTAATTTCAAACTCCAATAATCTCCTCAGATATAGTTAATTTTCACATAGAAAATAAGCAAAAATGAGATCATCATTTAAAAGAAAAGTTTGCTATATACAAGATGAGCGCTCTCATCATGCATGACTATTGTTATTTTGCTTTCATGCTAAACTCAACACGTTAGCTCGTAGCACTGATTTGGCATCAGTTTTCATTTTTTTCTAATTTGTTTTGAGCTCAAAGAAGTTATTTGTATCTGCTTGTTGACCAAAAAAAAAAAAGTTTTCCGAAAGTTTAATATTAAAGCAAATATAGTTTCTGTTGAAAGATCTCGAAAATACTAATGATTATATGTCATATTTGTTATAACTCCATATTTAGTGGGTTATAAAATGTATGAGGGATCTTGAGAATCTCTATTTATTTCTCTCTTTAATTAGAGAGATTAGCTGTCTTTTATATTTCTTTTATATTTTGTTATTATATTTTGTTATTATTCATTTCATTTTCTACTGTATTCGGTTTTTATTGTTTTCCTTACTAGTAAGTCCTGTAATGGATATTTATACCCCTCCTTGCATCAATAAATCAAGTATTCCGCATTATTCTAAATTTCAAGTGTTTCTTCTTTCCCTCACTATTATTATTATTGTTATTTCTATTATCAGGGGCATTTACACACATAGCACTCAAATTTTTATAGTCACATAAAAAAATAGCACTATTACCACTTTTTCAAAGTGAAATATACATTTTCATGTATAGATTTAAAGCATAAAAGTGCTTATGGCTTAGGTGTGAGTTATGTAAATACATAAAATTGTGTGCTAGGTATGTAAATTATGCTCAGCATTCAAATTCAAGTCCTAGTGCTGTCAATATGCTGTAATGCGATTTACTGATTAAAAAGATTGCTCTATCTCCTAATGGCAGGTGATGGCCTTGGAGCTGGGTGCATATGGTATAAGAGTGAATTCCATATCTCCTGGGCTGTTTAAATCTGAGATAACTGCAGGACTCATGCAGAAAAACTGGCTCGAGAGAGTAATGAAGAAGACGGTACCATTGAAAACCTACGGAACAGTCGATCCTGCCCTAACCATGCTTGTGCGATATCTAATCCATGACTCCTCGGAGTATGTGTCAGGCAACATCTTCATAGTTGATGCAGGTGTCACTCTCCCAGGTTATCCCATCTTCTCCTCACTTTGAGCTTCAATACCTTTGTTGCTTTTGTTTCTAGGCATGGAACTCAGAGCTTTCTCTATTTACCCAGATGAGGAATGAATAATTTTCTAATAAGATTTGTTGTTATATTTGAATCATTGATGGCTTTGGATCTGAATGTGAAATTTGTGCTTTTGTTGGTAAAAAAATTGGGCTTTCAAGAGCAATGATGAATATGAGAATATGAGAATGTGAAATAAATTGTTGGAGATTACAGTAGAACAACATGAGAAAAAAGATTTGCATGGTTTGGTGATGTTCTTCATTGCACCGCTGTCGCAAATGCACATTTGAAATGTGATACAAAATAAATATTTTTTTTCCAAATATAATTATTTTTCCATTTTTTTATCTCACTAGTATTTTACTCTCTTTTTTATTTCCCCGCCTATCCTAAGCACACTTTATCCATCAATTATGCTCGTTGAAGATAGAGGAGAGCACAGTTTATCCTAAGCACTGTGTCACGGACAAAAGGTCCCACAGCAGCTAGGTGTAGGGCTGAAAAACAGTGTTTAAGTCATGGGCTGCCCACCTCTCTTAAGGGCTCTTTTGGGAGGTGACAATTGGTATCAGAGCAGATTACTGTCTGTTAGGTGTGTGGACTCTC